CTGAACACCCAGCAGAGCCCCCGCGGCTCCAAGGTTGGTGACAAACCCAGGGGTGGCATCTCTGGAGGGTGGGAGGGGACAAACACAYGAGGCCCAACCTCTGGAAGCGCCAAAAATGGTTTTGGAGATGAACGAAGCAACCCCCAGAGATTTTTTGCGCGTTGGGAAACCACTCTGAGCTCATCTTTAATCACCAAATCCTCCCTCAAATCCTGAAATCCCCCAACCCCTCCACCCCGCAGGCAGCCCTGGCAGTCCCCGCTCGCCTTTGGCTGTCACCGAGATGCCCATGGCCGCCTCYCGGAGCGAGCTCCTCTTCCTCCAGCGCCCTTCATCCACGTTGTACATCTCCACCACCTTCAGCGGCAGCTGGTTGACTCCAACACCGCCGATCACCATGATCCTCTTGCCCAGCGCCGCCACGGCCACRCCAGCCCTGGCTGTGGGCATGGGGGGCAGCGCTGTCCACTGGTCAGCCTCGGGGGAGTAAACCTCGAATGAATCCACGGGGACACCGTTGTCATCGCAGCCACCCACGGCRAAAACCTGCCCGGCCGCCTCTACCAGCGCTGAGTACACCCTGCGGCTCGGCAGCGGCGCCAGCGATTTCCACTGGAAGTCTTTGGTGCTGGGCAGATCCATGGCGGAGCTGGGAAACTGAATTTTTGGGATTGGTGAGGGTGGAAAAGTACCGCAGGATTATCCAGGCTGTGTCCAACCCCACCCTGAGTGCTCAATGTTGCATCCAGGCCGGCCTTGGACAGCTCCAACCCTTCCCTGGGAGCCCTTTCCATGAGGAAATTCCCGCTGATGTCCACCCTGAGCCTCCCCTGGCCCAGCCTGAGGCCGTTCCCTCTCCTCCTGTCCCTGTTCCTGGGATCAGATCCCAAATCCCCYCCGGCTGYCCCCTCCTGTCAGGGAGTTGTGCAGAGCCACAAGGTCCCCCCTGATCCCCCTTTGCTCCAGGCTGAGCCCCTTCCCAGCTCCCTCAGGATTCTCCAGACCCTTCCCAGCTCCCTCAGGATCCTCCAGACCCTTCCCAGCTCCCTCAGGATTCTCCAAACCCTCGTCCATGTGCTCCAGACCCTTCCCCAGCTCATTCAGAATTTTCCAAACGTTTTCTCAGCTCTCTCAGGATTCTCCAGACCCGTCCCCAGCTCCCTCAGGAACTCTCCAGACCCTTCCCCAGCTCATTCAAGATTTTCCAAACCTTTTCTCAGCTCTCTCAGGAATTCTCCAGACCCTTCCCCACTCCCTCCTCCAGCCCCTCCAATTAAACTCAGGGATCAGATCCCAAATCCCATCCGGCTGCCCCCTCCTGTCAGAGCCAGAAATTCCCCCCTGATTCCCCTTTTCTCCAGGCTGAGCCCCTTCCCAGCTCCCTCAGGATTTCCCCGATCCCACCAAATCTCATTTCCCATAAATCCCGCTCTCCGGCCCCATCCTGGGCTGTTTTTGGGAACGGGGATGTGTCCCCATCACTCCTCAGCTCCCTCATCCCCATCACCACCGTCCCTGCCGAGCTCAGCTCTTGGCTGACAGCTCCGGGATTTCAGAGCCTAAAATCGGAGATGCGGGGGAGGCAGATTCCCAAAATTCCCAAAATCCTCCCCCATCCCGGGRTGTCCCAGTTCTCCTGAGGCTTGGAGCAGACGCGGATGTTTTTGGTGTGAGGCTGGAGGAGGAGGGTGAGAATGGGATGTCGATCCCACAGAAATCCCAGAAATCCCACAGAAATCCCAGCAGGAAAACGGGAAAAAGGGGCTGGGGGAAAGGAGAGAATGGGGGGAAAAAAAGGGGAAACAGAAATGAAAAAAAATTAAAATAGAAATGATAAAATGAAATAGAAATTATGAAATAGAAATTANAAGAATAAAATAGAAATAAAAAATAAAAATAGATATAAAAATAACCTTTTCCTTTAAATCATTTCCTCTGCCCCCACAAAGCCGCTGTGTCTGGAGCAGCTCTGCCTTTGTTGTGACAGCTGCTGTGCTGTCAGATTAGGCCAGAGCACAGCTGTCRGCTCCGTGTTTTCCTCCAAACATGTCCAAACCGCTCAGGATTTGGGAATTTTTTCCCTTGGAGCAGCCCCAGGAACCCCCCACAATGAGTTAATTGCTCCAGCAAAGCCGGGGATTCATTCCAGGCCCGGAATGAGGGAGGGAAGTTGGGCTGCAGCTTTTGAAGGGAACTTCAAAGGCCACCCCTGCAAAGCAAAGGTGGGGGCAGAGCAGCTTCTGGTGCCCAGGAAGTTCCCAAAAGGCTTTTGCAGATTTAAAACTGAATGTTCTACTTGAGTCAAAAGAGTAAAAAAATCCCTTTCAACTCCAAATTTTTATTTTTTTTTACTCTGGGATATTCGAAGACCTCTGCAAAGTCCATGGACTTCATTCCTGTTATTCCAACTCATTTATCTGCTCATCCCAACCGGAATTTTATTCCCTTCCCACCCAACTCCCAGCCAGAATTGATATTTTCAGGGATGGCACCCTAAAAGAAGCAAATATGGATAATTTAGGGACAGCCCATGATGCTCCCTGATCCCAAAGGCAGATTTGCTGGTGTTTATTTGGGATCCCAAACCCAGGAAAAGCCACGTCAAAAGCCTCACCCCAACCCCAAACCCAACCAGGATTGGGTCATTCCCATGGAAATTCCCCATCCCAAAGGAATYRTTCCCGGCACARGAAATGYCGTGCATTTKACCCRATTTCACCCAATTTCAGCATTTTCYACCCCCAATCAGGGATAGGGGYGATAAAACCTTCCCAAAATCCACCCTGGGAGTTTTAAAAAGCAAATTTGGCCTCGCTCAGCTCATTTAATTCCCATCTCCAGGGCTTGGAGCTGCTTTTTAATGTCTTCCTATATCAAAAATATTTCTTTATTCCATGCGAGAAAGTCAAGAAATTGGGACAGGACAAAGTCAAATAAACTTGGTGACTTCCACAGATTTTTTATTTCTATTTCCATGGCTCGGGACAGGATCTCACAGGACCTCAGAGGGCACCAAATCACTGAAATTGCTGCAGAAAAGTGAAGTTTTATAGAGACAGAGATCTTCTGCCATCAGTGCTCCCCTCATCGAGGCATCGACAGAATTCCCCTGGAATTCCTCAGTATTTCCTTACGGAATTCCAAAGAAATCCTCAGGAGCAGCCCAGGAGAGGCTGGCAGGTGATCCCACAAATATTCCCATGGAATTTCTCAGTATTTCCTTATGGAATTCCCAAGGAATCCTCAGGAGCAGCCCAGGAGAGGCTGGCGGGCGATCCCACGAACATTCCCATGGAATTTCTCACTATTTCCTCATGGAATTCCCAAGGAATCCTCAGGAGCAGCCCAGGAGACCTTGGCAGGTGATCCCACATCCCTCTTCATCAGTCCCCAAAACACGGGGGAGGAAGGAGGATGGGCTCAGATCCAGGAGATCCCTTCATAACCCATATCCACCCCCAGCACGACTTTTTAATATTTAATATTCACCACTCGGGAAGGATTTCTTCCCAAAATCCCACCTAACCGTGCTCTCTTTCGGGGTGATGTTCACGGGCACGGGGGCGAAAATGAGATGCGAGAAGGGGTTACAGAACCACGGGAGATCCGTTCGCCCTAAATTTGCCGTTCCCACGCCGAAAAACCCCAAAATCGCCCCAAGAATGAGGTGAAAAACCCCGTGAAAAAGGCAGCCCCGAGGGGCGCCSTGACCCCGACGTGATTCGAACACGCAGCCTTCTGATCTGGAGTCAGACGCGCTACCGTTGCGCCACGAGGTCCCGGCAGCGCCACCTCCGCCCTTCCTGCAAGAGCCTGCGCGCCGCCCCCGCGCCGAAACCCCGCCCGTGGATCCTCCGCGTACCGGGATTCTCCGCGCACCGGGAAAGCTCCGGGTTCACCGGGAAAGCTCCGGGTTCACCGGGAATTTCCGAGTTCACCGGGATCGCCCCGSMSCAKSAGSKYCGCYMKSASSSMAYGMGGSCCGCCMKSMGSGCTGGCCACGCCCCCKCCMCCCGCGCTGGCCACGCCCCCTCCWCACAGCACGTGTGGGCGGTACCACCGCCAGCGGAGGGGTGGCGCGGCCCCGCCAGCTGCGCGTTCCAGCGGCGGGCAGGAGGAATCCCCCCTCTCTTTGCCTCGCAGTGGTCTGTGCCACCCGGAGGATTTAAAGGGGCCGCGCGGATGAGTTGGGGCCGTTCTCAGCCGAGAATGGGGTGGGAGGAGTTATAATCTCATTTTTCTGCTTTTATTCATGTGTTTCTACCAATAAAA